GCAGGGCGCGTGGGCCCGTCCTGCACATCCCAGGGACAAGGTGTTGGGATTTAGGTGCCGGAGCAGCTGGAGCTGGGTCTCTCTGTCACCCGTAGCCCGTATTTTGTGAGTGTCGGCCGTTGCTGAGGTGGGTGGTGTCTGCCGGGGCAGAAAGTCTTGTCTCGTGGCTGAGTTCGATTCCCCCTCCCCACACCGTGAATGAGTGAAGGTGTCTCCTTTGTCTGAGTTTCTTCCCCTCATAAAACTAACCTGTCCTGCTCCCATCTCCGTCGTGTCATCGGTTCGGGACCTCGGCTTACGTATTGGTTTCCCAGTCCTGTAACTGCTGCAGCCCTCGCTGTGTTTCCTTCCTGGAGCATCCGCGCTCTCCTCCCCACGAGGAAACGCACAAAGTGGGCGTCAGGGGAAGGGGCGGTCGAGAACCAAACGCCAAGAGATGAAACCGGTTCTGTGATGAGACAGAGGCTGGGCCGACACCTGGATCCCCTCGGTCCGGGACACCGCCCTGGTCACATCCCTGGTCTTTACGTATCCATAGTAACAGCGTTTGCCGTTTTACGCCACTGCTCTGGAGGGTTTAATTGGTGTCATGTTCTAAGCTCTTCTAAAAGAAGGGCTCCATCGTGATGCTTGTCATCGTGATGCTTGTCATTGTGAGCCGCGTGCTGAATTTTCACAAGAGGCGCACGCGCGTCTTTCGTGTAAATTCCACGTCCTTATCCCTGGAAGTTTCACTGTAACTTTTGCACAGGAACGAAGGAAACGCCGTGGCACCCTGGGCAGATGATGCATTTGTCCTGGAGATGGGGAACTTGAAAGGCAGAGATGTTAAATGACTTTCTAGGGTTATGTGACAAGTCTAGAGCAGATGCTGCGTGGTTCCTGGGACTTAGGATTCCTTTTTCCCTGACTTGCCTGTTAGACAGCGCTGCTCTGCTGCCGCTGCTGCTCCTGGGTAGTACTCTCTATGTAAATGCTGCTAGTAATATTTGGAGGAGTTGGAGTTTGATGGTGTGTTAGGGAGCTGTAGTATGGAGAGCAGCCTCTGGAGTGCTGCCAGGGTGGCTGGTGCTGAGCAAATGCCTCCAGGTTTTCTAGGCGTGAAAAGATGAGCCAGGGGACTCCAGCAGAATTCATAAATTCACATTAGCACCCATTTTCCTTCACTGGTCTGCTGCACTGCCTCGTGCTATTTAAAGTTGCATGGTAAGAGCATAATGCAAATTACCTCTAACCTCCTGGAGCATTTCTGGCTCCGCAGTGTCCCATTGCGGGAGCGATGGCTGGGAGAGTGTGGGGAAGGGGTCACCCTTACAGCAGGGCTGGGTCCTTGGTTCGGATGCCTGAGGGAGGAGCCCCTCTAATGCACCGACAACTTGCATTTGCATTAAATATTACATCCCGGGCTCTGAGAGAGCTTTAAAATGAAATGATCTTCATAGTGTCCGCCTGGAAGGAGCTGTGTCCTGGCATCCTCCAAGCCTCCGCTGCCTGGACGGAGGGCTGCGGCTCTGGACTGCCATCTATTGAATCGCTCCAGCTTTGGCTTTGCAGGAGTTTTGCTTTTTAGAGGATTGCGGTTCAGGCTTAACACCCTAAACCCCGAGACACAGTTGGTTTGTTAGGAGAGCTCAGTGCTTCAGCACAACACGAGGCTTTTCGGCACTAGACAGAAATAATTAAACTAGCTGGATGTTGTCTTTGTTATCTCCGGCACCAGCCTCTCTGTCCAGGTGGGAAATGCATCTTTAGGGGTGAAAACAAACATAATGCCATTTGCTGGAGCCCTTGCAGTGTCCTTAGGAGTTTATTATCCGAGGATCAAGAGGGTGTTGTTTGGTGAGGAGGACTTGGTGAGATAATGGCACACGCTGGGATGGATTTGTTTGCTTTCTGTCTCCTGGGAAGTGAATGTTGGTTTCTAAGAACGGAAGATAGGAGATTTCTTCTTCTCCACTGCCTCTATTTTACCTCTTTTTTGCATCTCCCAGGCACCTCTGAGGAGGTGGCTCCTCCCCCCCAGCAGAGCTTCATGATCCCCAAAAAGGAGATAAACATGGTGTCCGACATGGCCAAGTGGAAGCGCTCTCAGGTATGGCTCTGGGGTCAGGGAAGGCTGGTACGTGCTTATCGCGCTTCAGTGGCAGCCAGGTCTGGTTTGGGCACAGCCACGAGGTGAAACAGGTTTGGGCAAGTGATGGGAAATGAATTGTTTTGTGTTTTAGAGCAGAAGAGTCGCTGCCTGTTTGTAGGAAAATGACTTGGCAGTGAGGTGTGGAGTCTGGCCACTAAATGTTCTGACAAAGGAGCGAGCCAGGGAGAGCCCAGAGATGCTTCCAAATTATTACTGCTCCCTCCCAACAAGCTAGACGAGAAGCTGGTAACTATTTCATCCTGCCTAGCCTGAACATTTTATCAACCCTGGGTTTACCCAGTGCTGTTTGAACTCGGCTTGAACATGGTCCTGCGGCCTGGCCCTCTGATAGCACCGGGCTGGGCTGGTTCCTGGGGCCTTCCCACCCTGCTGTACTGGAAAGGGCTCTAGAGCCGAGGCCTTCAATTTCCTGGATAATTCCTGTTCACAGTATGTGTGGAGCTGGTGGAACAGGCAGGTTCTCCTCTCCTCAAACAGGCCTTTGAGGGATTGGTGTGCTAGCCCAGGCTTGTCCCACCTCTTGGGAGCAAGTTCTCGCTTGATGACTGAGCTGTGCTGTCTTAAGAGAAGCTCAAGTTATAGCCAGGTCTCAAGCAAACCTCCCACTGCAGCTTCCTTTGCTAAGTCTCCTGGGTGTAAGGACTTGCTCCTGGTCAGGATTTCCCAAGGAGGGAGAGGTGGCAGCGTGCTGGTCTGGTGTTTTCAAAGACTCAGAGCTGTGGAGCTGCTGTGGATAAGCTCCTTCACAAGGTGTGAATTTAAAGAGAAGAGCGACGAAGAGCCCGGGCTGTCTGCCGCTTCTCCGTCACGCAGCACAGGAGAAGGATAGAGGGAGGCAAGGGGGGATGATGGTGCAGGTCTGGGAGAAGCAGTACAGAGCAGGATGTATAGGCACAGCTCAGACTCTGCAGAGCCAGAGAGTTTGAATTTGACCTGATAGGAAGCGGGGAGCTGAGGGAAGGAATTCGGGGGCAACCTGAGCTTTTTTAGGCTTCTCCTCTCTGTAGTTTTTACAGTGATGCAGAGTTCTTAGTGCAATCGCCATCTGTCTCTGAGCTGTGCCAAAAATAGCAGTAACCTCTCAGCAAGCCCTGCACCCTGGGTGTCTCCAAGAGAGCGGCGTGGTGTGGTGGGAAAGGTTCCCTTGGGGTGCGGGAGTGCTCCGATGCCGCGTTGCTTCTTCAGGCAGACTGTGGGTATTCACTAACGCCCTGCTCTCTCGGGTGTGTTTGCAGGCGTACGCAGATTACATGGGCTTCATCCTCACTCTGAATGAAGGTGTCAGGGGCAAGAAGCTGACCTGCGAATACAAAGTTTCAGAGGTAGGAGAAGTGTTTGGATCCTCGTTTCTCCTTTTCTGCCCCTTTTTTTGGTTCTGTGGTGAATATTTCCTAGGTGAGGAGTGAGTTGGCAGCTTATCTGGAAGCCAAGGGGAATAAATGTGGTTGGGCTGTGCCTGGGGATGCAAATGCCAGCCTGCAGCCCTCCCTGCAGGATGCAGAGGCTCTGTGTGTGCTTGCTGGATGGGAGATCAAGTCACAAGTGGATAGAAGCTGGTGGTGAAATGGAAGATGCAGACCTTTTGACCCTGTTTTCACTGTCTGGCTTCAACCAGGGATGTTTGAAAGATGTGGTGTTCTCTCCTGGTTGCAGGCAAAAGGCTGAGATGTCTGTACCGTTCCTGCTTTCCCACTGCTTTGGCCAAGTTGCTTGTCTCCCTGTCCCTGGGCTTCCTCCTCAGTCAGACTGTTACCAGCACCATCTCCTCAGCCCACGCTGGAGCTGAGCTGTGCAGGGTCTGGTTTGACAGCGTGCGAGCTCAAGGCACGTCATGGACTGGACCTGCCTTGCCCAGGGTAGCACTGGGGGCTACGAGGGGCTGCGGAGCACGCTGAGGGGGGCTGGGCTGGGGGCAGGATCACACCTTCCGGGATGGTAAGCAGAAAGGACCTGTTCTTCCCCTTGCACTAATGTGACTGTCACCTGGCTCTGCTGCGGCAGCCGGTTTTGATGCCTGTTCATCTCATCAGGGCATGGCGCGATCGTTTGGAGGCAGAGGGTGAGGGCAGGCACCCCGACTGGTGTTCCTGCCTGGCCTCAGCCCTGCTCACCGCTAGCCCGGGGCCTCTGGGCACTGCCCTGCTCTGCAGAGCTGATGTTGGCCGCCAGCTTCGCTCACGCGCTAGATCCCCCTCCCCTCCTGTGCAATGACGAGATTCTCGGGTACAGTTTGACTGTTCAGACTGCACAAGAAAGCTGGGAATAGCCTAAAAAGGTCTAGGCAGAACGGGAAGCAGCCTGGGCCCTGCATGTTTACAGCTTCATTCTGGTGTGGGAAGGCAGCCCACGGTGATCTTGAACCGAGTCATTGATGTCTGAAGCAGGCATGTTAAGTCCAGCCTTCCCTTCTAGGAGCCAGTGTGTGAATGAGACGCTTGTAGTTCATGGAGGGGATCAGGGATAACGAATCCTTCCCTAACGGGCTTTGTGTCTACCTTTTGTTCCTTCAGTTCAGTAGAAACTGCTGTCAAATGCTGCTCTTGCTTTCTGCTGTTTGCATTTCACCTTTGAGTTTTGTCTTTGTCGTGATCTTGCTCGTTCCCAGGCATTCACAGAGCAGTTCTAGGGAAACAAAGCATTAAAAACGAGCAAAACAAATGGGGGAAAAAAAACCCACAACCTTTGCTGCCAACCCCTTAGAGCTCTTTGCTATTCAGGAAAAGCTCTATCAGGGCTGCTCCCTGCTGCACATCCCTCTTGGAGTGAGTGTTTTCCATCCTGGGTCCAGGTGACAAACAAGAGACGCGAACCCGGCTGCTGGGGAAGTGGCAGGGAATGTGTCTCGTTCCCCTCGCGCTGGGGAGAGCAGAAGCCTGCGGCTCGCGGCACAGGTGGAGCGTCCCCAGGGCCGCCTTGTTGATGAGGTTGCCTGTTGGCGCAGGTTCGTTTGTAGATCAAACTGCTGATCTCTGCTTTTAAAGGCTCAGCCCCTCGTGGCCTCTGCTTGCATCTCTGCTCTGCTTTCTTCTCTCTTGCCGTACCTGCTGCTGATGCGCTTTCCTGCCATCCCATCTTCCTCCCTGATCAAACGCTGGAGATGCCTTCCCATGGCAAATGACCTCCTGGAATCCTTTCTGCTGAATGCGTATCCGCTCCGCGACTTCCTGGTATTGCTTTGCCATGGGAAAAAACCCCAAAGTACGGTCTGCTCTGCTTTGAAAGAGACAGCTTAATGGTTCCCAGAGTGGCGTGTGTCGATACCAAACTGTGCGGGCTGAGCCCCTTCTGAGACTTGCTGAGCTCGCTCTGCTCTTAGGGCAAGATGGGATGGAGCCGTCTGGGGCTTTGCTGGAGGCAGCTGACAAGGAGCAATAGCTGAGCTGCTGCTGGGGACTCTGGCATAGACACTATGTCTGGCACAGGGGTCTATGACTGATAGGCTGTGACCTGCCTTCCTCTCCCGGAGGAAGGGCTTTTCACGCGGGGATCCGTGCGGCGACAGCCGGGGCTGAAGCGGGGAGTGGTTTGTCAGAGCTGCGACTTGGCTCAGAGGAGCAGCGCAGCAAGGAGGAGGTTAATTCTGACTGCCAAGGAGCAGTCCTTCCCTTCAAGCAGCGGCTGGCCTTGTGGCTTGCTCTGGTTCCAGGAGGGAAGTGGGGGAAGCAGCAAATGCCCCGATTTTAGCAGCTCTCCCCTCCGACAGGGCCTGAGGAGCCCACAGGAGCAGGCTTGGTCCTGGGGGGTGGCTTTGGCTGCCACGATGCCTTCTCAGCACCTCTGCCTGCCTGGCCCCCGCCCTCGAGCGATGCTGACAGGTCTCTGCTCCGTCGGAGGCCCTGTGGTTTGCCCTTGGGACCGGTGGCAGACTCGGGGTCAAGGGGATGCAAAATCAGCACAACGAGAAGAGCGAGGAGAGCTGGGGGGGAGGCTGCCCTTGCTTTGATCACTGGGAAGGTAAAGCAAAAATAAGAGTTTAAAAAACCCAGCCAGGCAAAACAGGGCTGCGGTGCTGCTGGCTGTGTCCCCCTAAGCCCTGCTCTTCCCCTCCTTCTCCCCTGCTGGGGTCAGCCCTGGATGTACGAGTTTCCTTTGCTGGACAATGGGAAGCTGCTTCTTTTAGAAACCCCCTTTTCAAAGGGCCTTGAGCCCAAAACGAGCTGCATCTCTTTAATTATTTATTGGCACGGCTGAGCCGGCAGCTGGGTCCTGCTCTCCCGTGTTCAGCGGGGCCGGGCTTTTTAATCCCTTTAAAGCAAGGGAGTGGGGAAGGGGAGGTTGGACTCCCCGCTCCCCAAGGCCCGCGGGCAGATCTGGGGAGGGGGAAGGAGCGGGTCCTCACCAGCCATTTATTCAGGCAGCACCGAGTGCTCGCTGAGAGGGGTTTGAAATACGGTGGCTGCTCATAATGAGCTGCTGGTGCCGGCGGATAAATCACCAGCGCGATTTAATTATTTAATGCAACCCAGTGCTGGGGATGCTGGTGCTTAATTGGAGGGGAATGCAGTAGCCAGGAAGGAGTAGAGCTGAGTCCAAACCTGTCCCGGAGCAGTGGGGAGACGGTGGGGTTCTCCGGTGTTTCGGGCAGCAGGGAGGTGAAGCCGAGCAGGTCGCACTGCCTCGTCCCACGTGGGTGGGGGACACTGATCTGTTCGTGGCTCCAGCTTGCAGCCTCTCCGGGACACCCGGAGCTTTGAGCCCTCCTCGGCACTTGGGGCTTTTGTGTTCCTGGTGTGTTCTTGTTCTCTATCCCAGCCTCTAGCCTGGCTCAGTGGCCAGTTGTTCAGGCCCTGTGGGGTAGGTGGATCTGTCATCTGCCTGATACCACTTCCCGTGGGCTGATCCCACTGTGTTCTCAGGATGGCATCTTGGGAGCTGCTGTCTGTGTGAGGCTGTGTCTGCCCTGAGACCCTTCCTGCTGGGAGCGGAGGGCATGGGGAGCGATCCGCAGCTAGTCCGGCGGCTGCACAGCTCCGCCATGCCCATCCCTCTGCCCACCCCCTTCCAGTGGCACTTCAAGGGCTGGAAACTTGCTGGGCTCGGCTGTTTCCTCGTCCTCCCGGTAGGCAGCGTGAAGAATTGAACCACAGCCCAGGAGACCAGCCGGCTTCACACAGTCGATGCCTCCAGCAAAGTCAAACCAGCCGCCTCTTCTGCTGTCCTCTTTGTCCCCTTGAAGGAGGAATCCCCTCTCGAGACAGAGGAGCCTACATTGCCCGGGGCCTGGCCAGCTGCTGCGGTGGTTGACGGCTCTCTGGCTGCTTGGAGTCAGGCGAGGAGAATCCCGGAGCCTCTGGCAGGCTTGACCGGTTGTTGGCAGAGTCTCCTCAAACTCTTTGGAGCTGCTTTAAGTGCTACCTGTGGTGCTGCCTCTTGGTACGTGGGGGTTAGCTGTTCCCCAGCTGTACGAGCAAGGCACGGAGGAGGCTGCGTGCACTGGCCAGCCCTGGTCCTGGCAGTACAGCTTGAGACATCGCGCTGTGTCGCCTGTTGCACCTCTCTTTTCCTTCTTGGCCATAACCATGCCTCCTCCAGTCGCTCTTGTACATCCTGTGCAGGTTCCTCACTTTCTCCTTCCAGCACAAGGCATGAGAAAGATGCCTCTATCCTCTTGCTATTGCGTTTGTCTTCCCATCAGCTCCCTGTTTTTATTGAGACATTTCTCTGAGGACTGAGAGCTTCGCTGGCTCTGATGAGACCACTGGTATGCAAACCAGGCTGCCCCTTCCCCTGGGTGTGTTGTATTTGGCCACGTGCACAGGGTATCCCCGGGTTGTACCTGCCAGGGTGGTCTGGCTGGTATGAGTTTGAAGCAAGAGGAGGTTGGCTTGCGATCAGGCCTGGCTGCACTGGGTGCTGTACGAATGCTAACCCCGTCCCTGCTAATCCTGGCTCCTAAGAGACACTTCAGGACAAGGACTAGAGGCCTTGAGAAGGGCCTCAGCATCACATCACCAGCCACTGCTGGGTGATACGGTAAGTGCTGAGCGGTGTCCCGTGGGGCACGCAGGACCCTCGAGTCGCAGAGCCTGAGTGTTGTGTCGGAGATCTCCGACTTGTGCAGCACTTCCCTGCTTCTCAGCCCTGTGTGCCTGACAGCCAGGAGCTTCCTGTAGCTCCTCTCCCAGGGGTTTTAGAGCACAGTGCTGTTACGGCTCGTGGAAGGCTGTGTGGGCAACTGGAGAGCCTGCCTCAGGCTGGGCTTTGTACTGGACCGATCTTCGGAGGGGGAGGACAGTTTTCTCGGCCCCTCTGCATGTCGGGGAGAGTTGGGACATCATGTTTCCGCTTGCCACCCTTGGGAGGTATGGCGTGGGCTGAAACGACTCCAGTCCAGGGCAGAGATGTTGGAGCCTGAGGAACTGCTCTGTTTTACGTCACCGTGACCCCTCATCACCTTTGTCTCTGTAGCCCATTGAAAAGCTGGTGGCTCTTCTGAACACCCTCGACAGATGGATCGATGAAACCCCGCCAGTGGATCAACCTTCTCGCTTTGGGAACAAAGCCTTCAGGACCTGGTATGCCAAACTAGACCAGGTGAGCAGGTCTTTCACATGTAGCGTTACATGCAGCTCATGCAGAAGGGCCACATTCCCAGGAGGGAAGCAGAATGGCTCCACCATGGTGTGGCAGCCGAGCAGCCTACAGAGGTCAGATAAGCTGTGAAGCATCCACCTCTTGATAGGCACCATTTACCCCGGATCTGGTGCTCTCCTCTCCTCTTACGAGACCGTATGGTCCATGTAAATGCTTTTGGATGGGTCTCCAAGTCTTGGATGAGCCATGGGAGCCCTCCAAGCCCAAGGAGCTTGTTGGCTTTGTAACTGCCCACTGTGTCAGCTAGCTGGTGGGTGACACAAAGCCAGAGGAAGGTTGTGAAATTGTTCAAATTCCTTCATCGCGGAGCGCTTTTCCGGCACCACGTTGTGGAGGTGGCACAGGCAGGGTCCCAGCAGCAGTGAGCTTGCAGGTGGTCTGCTGTAACCGAGTTGATGTGTTTGGGTGGTGAAGCTTTTTTGTCCTGCAGGATGTGTGTGGCCTGGGTAAGTGTCAGGACCAGCTCTCCCTGAATTTCTTCATCTCTAGAGATGATTTCAAGAGGAGAATTTGCTCCTGTCCTGCTGGCTCTGACCATTGTAGGAGTGCACCATGGCAGCTCCCACCCTGCGACAGGGTCTGAGCAGAGGTGGCTGGTTCCTGGGGACTGCGACCAATCTGCACTCACTTGAAGGAGTCTTTTGTGTCTTTCAGGAAGCAGAAAAGTTGGTGGCAACAGTGATTCCCAAACATTTGGCTGATGCTGCACCAGAAGTGGCCGTGTACCTGAAGGAATCCGTGGGGAACTCCACCCGCATTGACTATGGCACAGGTACCTGGGCGTGCACGCTGGCCGAGGCCGGACTCCCCTTAGAGCCTGGTGCTGCATTAATTTGACTGTGTTATTGCCACTATTTTTAATGCCAGCTCGAAGCAAACACCTTCCTTCTTGCGCCTCCTTGCCCCCGTGTGCAGCGTGGGCTGTGCCTGAGGGAGCTGGGGCTGGGAGCAGGGCTGTGCTAGAGCTGTGACACCCTTTTCCTGTCTCATCCGAGGAAATGTGAACTGAGCTGTGCAAGCTGCTCTGGGATAAGCTGTGGGAGCTGCTTGACTGCATACAACAATCCTGTCCCTGCTGATCTGCAACAGGCACTTTAGAGGGATAGGTTATAACTGCTTGAATTGGAACTAGGGTGGGAACCAAGTTCATGTTTGGTGGGAGGGGTCTTGAGGCCCAGTGCTCCCTAGAAGTGACGTCACTGCTTCCGGAGGGACCTTGAAGGTAGGAGCATTTTGCACCTAAGGAGACACTGAACTGCGTGTTGAAGTAACCACGCTGGCTTCAGTTAGACCTAAATCCAGAATTTCCACATGCTCTGCTCCTCTGTGCAGAGGACAGTGGGTGCTCTCCAAAAGGCAGGAGAGCAGGATGCTGTGGGTGCAAGGCAACACGGCTTTGGACCTGGGCCGGGAGAGGAAGAGGAGGAGGTGGGTGAAAGGATGAAGAGCTGGAGGCTGTGCAGTGCTCGCAGAGCTGCGGCTCGCCGGCACCAGGGGGAGATGTTGTCCTTGGAAAGGGACCCGCCGGCTGGGGTTTTGTCAGCTCAGGGAAGGTAATTCGGCCTTCCCTCCCCTCCTGTGTCCCAAGCCAGTGGCCCATGTCCTAGCTCACAGAGGCCCGAGCATAGGTGCACTCTGCTCACGCCGGGAGCTGGGCTTGGCAGCGAGGAGCTGCTGGCCTTGTGCTGTCCCTTCTGCTGTGGTTCCTTCCCCTAAAAGGCATTTCTGGGTTTGCTGGCTGTTCTTTTCCTTGCTGTTAGCTGGAGGGCCAAGCTGCAGAGGCACAGCCCGAGATCCCAGCACCTTCCGGGACGAATTGTTCCTGGCAGTGTCATGGGATCTGCATCCTTCCGACTCGGAGATATTTTTGAAGTGGGAGGAAATCTGTTTACTTGCAGATGTGAGGTTCTCTCACATCCCCCAAGCAGATGAGACTGTGGTGCTCCACTTCCCCTGCTGTGCCAAGCTCCTGGGAAAGGCCCTCCCTTGCTCCCAGCATGCCCGATGTTGGAGCTGATTTTCCTCAAGAACTTCTTTTCTCCAAGTTAATAATCCCTTTATGAGTGTCTAGGAGGGGTTTACTTTGGGTGGGGGTCTGCATGGGGATGAAATAGTCATGAATACAGTTGGGCCTCTTGAGACTGGACAGTGGTTGCTGTGATTCCTGATGAGCTGTTGCGGTGCCCACGGAACGGTTGTCCCAGGGACCAGAGACACCAGCATCACATCTCTTCATGTCTTTTAACTCCAGGGCACGAAGCTGCGTTTGCAGCCTTTCTCTGCTGCCTCTGCAAAATCGGTGTGCTCCGAGTGGATGACCAGATGGCCATCGTCTTTAAAGTATTTAACAGGTGAGGTAATGGATGGAGAAAGGCCGGAAGCATCGGGCTGCTTGGGGGCAGGTCCCTGGCAGCGTCCCTTTCCGGCTGTCTGAGATGTTACTGCAGACTCCCGTAGTCTGGGCTGGTTGCGCTCCTTTTCTTCCGCTCATCCGCACCCGTCTGGGAGCAAGGAATTGTGAGAAGAGCCTTCTCCTGGGGTGTGAGCTGGGCAAATCGCAGGTGTCCTACAAAGACATGCATGTAATTGGAGAACGTGAGTGCTGACGGGCTTGCTAGCCCAGGGAGAAAGGGCAGAATGGCAAAACTGAAGATAAATTTATACAAAATGAGGAGGCAGATGTACTTTTTAACGGACTGTATGGTGACCCATTGTAACTGTCTCCAAAAGAGGTGATAGCACCTTGTCTGTTAGAGCTGTGTGTCCCTCTGGAAAGGTTCTTTAGTTGAGCACGTTACTGAGCTCCGCAGAGGGATGTGGGTGAAGCTCTGTGATAGGTAGGAATCACTGATCAGAGGATCTAACGTTCCTTCAGGCATTTAAAAAAAAATAAACCTATGGAACTGGCAGGCCTGCACTGCTCCTCTGGAAGAGTTTCCAGCCCAGGAGGTAGAGTTGGTAGTGATGAAACTCATGGAATGGGTGTTTGGAGTGCAGAGATCTAATCCCAGCTGTATCACTGTTTGGTGACATGGAAATAATTCCCTTCAATAGTACCTCCAGCTTTAATTTTCCACACGAAAAGTGGAAGGAGCGTTCGCTGTAAGGTGGAAAGCTTTCTGGGCTCTTTTGGAAGTTGTTGAGGGAGAGTGAAGTGTCAGTGTTTTTAAATAACAGCGAGGGTGGGGAAAGATCTGCACCAGCATAAGACACTGCAGATAAAATAAACCCCTGCCACTTGATTTCTTAGTGAATTTGGTGTAAACCAATTTTTTTTTATTAAAAGGGCTGGTATTTCATAGAATCATAGAATGGTTTGGGTTGGAAGGGACCTTAAAGATCATCCAGTCCCCCCCCCTGCCATGGGCAGGGACCCCTTCCACTAGACCAGGTTGCTCCAAGCCTCATCCAGCCTGGCCTTGGACACTTCCAGGGATGGGGCATCCACAGCTTCTCTGGGTAACCTGTCCCAGTGCCTCCCCACCCTCTCCGGGAAGAATTCCTTCCTAAGATCCAATCTAAACCTCCCCACTTTCAATTTAAACCCGTTACCCCTTGTCCTGTCACTACAGGCCCTTGTAAAAAGTTCCCTCCCAGCTTCCTTGTAGCCCCTTCAGGCACTGGAATTTGCTACTGTATGTCCCATCAGGCAAAGGAGCTGAATATATATTCTGTGCGCTGTGCTCTGTGGGGGGGTCCTGCTTGCAAGCGATGAAGCCGTGTCCTTCCCCAGACTGGTTGTTCCTGTCCTCGTGGAAGTCGGTGACGACAGAAGGAGGCCTTTTCCTCACCCTTCTTTCCTTTGGTCTCAGGTACCTAGAGGTGATGCGAAAACTTCAGAAGACCTACAGGATGGAACCTGCTGGCAGCCAGGGCGTGTGGGGCTTGGATGACTTCCAGTTTCTACCTTTCATATGGGGCAGTTCCCAGCTGATAGGTACTAATAAAAATCATCTCGTGTCCCAGCCTGCCCCCTGCCCCATCTGTCTAGGTTGCAGAGATGATGGGACTTAGTTTTAAATTCAAATATGTCAAATTTGTGTATAATACAGCACAGTTTGCTTGGGGCTTGGATTTTTTTTTTCCCTTTTCAGCTTTCCAAATAGTTGCTTGGGTTGGGAGATGGAAGGCTTCCTTGCACCGTGCCTCTCTCTTTATTGCAACGACTACAAGGGTTTTAAGAGTCTTGGTTTTGGTGCTAGAAAACACGCTTTGTGCCCTGGGGAGTTCACCAGGTGCTCTCTGCTGAGGCACTGGTGTGGGAGAGGAGGTGGAAGGGAGCAGCTCTGTGCTGACTTCTGAAGAGCTCTGATCAGTGTGTTTCTTCTGGAAGGTGGGGGGGACAAGACCTGATGAACTTGGTCTCTGAAGGGGATGCCATACACGTGACTTCCTATTGTCTCTTCACTCTTTTTAGACCATCCAAATCTGGAGCCTCGACACTTTGTTGATGAGAAGGTGGTAAACGAAAACCATAAGGACTTCATGTTCCTGGAGTGCATCCTCTTCATTACAGAGGTGAGGACTGGAAGGTTTGTCCCACAGGGAAATTCTCCTGACATTAGATACTCGGCTCTGGCTGTGGTTTTCTCTTCCTCCTTTGCTTGTTTGTTTGCTCTCTTGGAACTGTGCAGATGAATGGTTGTTGCATGTCTGAGGTGCTTTCCTTGAATGGTTTGAGACAGGGATGCTGAGAGGAAAGTGTAATTAAGCTAGATGGGCTGTGGATTGCAGTTGAAGGGAGCTGTAACGAGCAAACAAATAACCTTGGATGTCACTTGGATCAGTCAGTGGGAACTTGGATGGAGAAGACCGGTGCCTGCAAGTATGCTGGGGAGATGAAGTAGGAGCTGCAAAATGACTGGGCTTGCCAGGATAACCTCCCTTCCCTCCAGCTGTTGGGTGCTGCCTCGCAGGCCCTGGGCCCCCCCTTGCTTTGGGCAGGCTCCCAAACCTCCTTGCAGCTTAGTCTCTTCCAGATTCTACCAAAAAACCTGCCGTTAAGTTGGGAAACAATCTAGAGCTGAGGGGGTGTTGGGATTGGCAGGTAGGTTGAGACTGGACATCAGGAAGGAATTCTTTCTGGAGAGGGTGGGGAGGCCCTGGGACCGGTTGCCCAGAGAAGCTGTGGATGCCCCATCCCTGGGAGTGTCCAAGGCCAGGCTGGAGGAGGCTTGGAGCAACCGGGTCTAGTGGAAGGTGTCCCTGCCTATGGCAGGGGGGTTGGAACTGGATGGTCTTTAAGGTCTCTCCCAACCCAAACCAGTCTGTGACTCTATGATTTACCCAGCTGGCAACCCTGTGGGCACCACGTTTCTGCTCAAGGGCCCGTGGGTGAGGGACTGGTGATACCAACCCTGGGCAGTGTTTCTCAGCGAGGGACGTCGCCGCTTTCTGCCCTCAGCTGCAGGATCTGGCTGTGTTTCTGCCGTCCCCCTCGCTGCACGGGCTGGGCAGGGAGAGCGAGAACCACACGCTCTGTTGTGGTGAGGGATTTCTTGTCTCTGGCAAGAGAGAGTGGATGGGATTAATTTTGAAGGGCAGAGTGCGGTTCTTCCCCCTTGTTCTGTTCGTTTTTCCCCCCTCCTTGCCTCTCCAGCTCAGCGATTAGATGAGAAGAGAGGTTACGGAATATGAACTTAGCCTTTCACGTAGGAAATTTTCATGGGAGCCTTTGGCCCAAACCCCAGTTTTTTTTTGAATCTAGTAGGGTTTGTTGGTCCTTAGCACCTCACAGGGTTTAACCCTTAATGCAGAGATAGAAACCATCCCACGGGTAGTAGAGGTGCTGGTGGAAGGGATCAAGATGAGGACAGGGAAGCAGGAGCCAAGATGCTCTAGGATTTATTTTAATTTGGGCCTCTGTAATATCCACAGCACACTAACCTGTTAAAAACACACACACGTCTCTGGAGGCGAGCGTAGACAACTGCAGTGCACAGATGACACGTCACGATGCACCGTGCTGCTGCTTCGGGTCACTCTGCCTTCGCCTGCAGAAAGTTAGCTTTGGGGTAGGCTTTTAAAATGAGCCATTTCACTTGTTTTTCCTCACGTTGGTTGAGAATCATGGAATTTGGTGTTTCAGCCGCGTTCCTCAGTGCCACCTGGTGGCAAGGAGCCCTCCTCCCGGGCCCTCTGGAGTCAGTGGCTGTGGGATGGCAACAGCCGGGATTAGCAGATGCGTGGTATTTTCAATCCGTCTTCATGCAGGCACTGTTTCCTTTTTGTAAAGATTTTCCTTATAAAATTAGTCTTTTTCTCCCCCCAAATGCCTGGGAAGGCGGCTGCTGCCAGCAGGGGGGGCTGAGGCAGCCTCCAGTGCCCTCCAAACGCTCTCTCCAAAACCAGCCAACAACACAAAATAGCAGGGAAGAAGGATAGAAGGGATTAAAGGTTGTAATAAACGAGTGATATTATTTTCTTCCAAGCTTGTCAGCTGGAAACAGCTCTCCTTTAAAGATGTTAAACACGTAGCAAACACCACGGCAGTTCCCGTAGTGGGTCTGGTACGTCTCACCGACACCAGAGCAGGATTTGTTTCAGCAAGCTACAACCGCGGTAGGTTGTTTTCTTTCAACCAAGAGAATATTCTCCTGAGCAGATATTTTTCTCAGCCCCTGGGTGACGTTTCAGGGATAGGAATATACACTGTTGTCGTGTTTGCCACGTGTATATTTAAACCTCAGGCTCTCAAAGTAGCAGCAAGGTGATGTCCAGGCTGAACCCACTGAGGCACCACCCTGCACGGCGCGCAGGGCAGCGAGCCTTGCGTAAGCTGGCCTGGTGTTGGGAAATCTGCAGGGTGGTTTTCGGACCCGAACGTGTGGTTCTCAAGCGGGGTGAGGTTTACGGAGCTGGCCGGGACTCGAGCCATCCCCCTGCTGTCAGGGGTGTTGTGTGGTACCTGTAGGTGCGAGGATGAGGAGGGTTTGGGGGCATCTCTGCGGTGCCAGACGCAGAAGGGGCTGTGGATGGCGGCGATAGCAGGGCTCGGGGTGTGTGTGTAGAAGAGGGGTGCCGGGTGTTGCAGTGGATCAGTGCCATCACCCAGATGCTGCTCCGAGGGCC